TCATGCCCACTCTCCTCCTACTTACCTGGCTTACTAACAATCAAAGCGAGGTTTACGAATGAGTCAGCAGAGGATCGAACTCCAGACCACTTGGCAACTGGCTGGTGAGCATTCTATCACTGAACCAAGATACTCTATTACACATGATCAATATTTGATTGTCTGTATTGTAGTGTCTTCCAAACTACAGCAATCTGTTAGTTTACCTTTGCTGTCTCTTATCAATGCCTTTAAAAATTTACTTTCATTGTAAGAGCTCGACGAATTCTGATGCATTAAGTATTATCAAGGCAAATTCAACTCAACATCATATATGATAAACTCTCCATCTTTAGTTGATTCTTACTACCTTCACTATAATAGTCTGTTGATCAACAGATCTATCTTCTGGTTGGTTGTATTAGATCGCTGGTTGTTCAAGTTTTAAACGGAATTACTGTCAGTTTCTATTTCTAGTTGTCAAACAAATAATAAGGTTTGTTTTCAAGAGTTCTTTTGTAGATATTTGATTGGTTTCAATTAGGATCACAAACTGATATCAGTTACAGAATAATCGGAAACTAAGGAGTACTGGAAATTTGTTTCGTCCTTGTTTAGGATTCTTCAGAAAAATTCACCCATGATCCAACCACCAGGGGTCGAACCCATTCGGCAATTAGGACAGGATTCAGTCGCTAATCAATCCTAACTCCTATCAATTTACGATCTTTAGCGCAACTACTAGCTACTGTCATCGGTGAGTATTTGTCCTAATATCCTACATGATGGATCCTACTGGCCACGACTTCTCACTAGAACTCTAGAAGGGAATTCGTCCTTTAGTCAGTTACTAGTGAGCATCGGAATAATTTTAAAACGTTAGTTAACCAAAATCACTAATCGACAGAAGTTAGAATTCATAGCCCATCGAACTTCATCCCAGTGGCTGAATGGTCAGAGAGCTCACATTGTAACCTGAACGTCCTGAGTTTGATCCCTGAAGGTGGGTTCATGGGTGCCCGATTCTTAACAATTCCAAACAAGGACGAAACAGCCATTCAGTTCTGCTCAGTTCCCAACGGTTCACTATCTGATATCAATCGGTGATCAGACTTGATACCGTTTGTATTTAGTTACTATCTGTGTTTAACTCAGAAATTCTCAGAAATCAGCTTACTACGCTGTATTTTTAGATGGTAAACCTTGTAAACAGGGGATAATTAATACACAGTCAAAGAGATGGAAACAAACGAAAGTAAAACCTATTATTAAGGTGAATTTTCGACGGTATTGCCAAAGAGCAACATTTCTTTGTTACTTTTTGGGTTTACCTTTTATGTAAGTATAAATTTGTATAGACTATAAAACTTTAGTTTATTTTTACAAAATGTAACATGAAATGTGCTCATTCAGTTTTAGACTGTTTAACGATAAAATATTTATTTCAACCTTTGATTTATAAAATTCAACGTCGCAAATAAAATCAATATTCTTGTTAACAAATTTTAGAAGTCCAATATTTTTATGTAGCCTGAATTGTTTTCTCAGGAATTGTTGAATGAAAATTATTGATTCTGAAGTGTTGGTCTGCAGTGATTGGGTTGGTTTCAATTGAGATCAAGGGCTGATTTTAGTTAGAGAACTGTTGAAAACCTTGGGGGGGGGGACATATACTCACTGATGACACCGCCTTGCTGTGGAGATATGTATACATATACCACAAATTAACAGAAGTTAGAATTCACGGTCCAGTGAATACCGTCTCAGTGGCTGAGTGAGGTTATGCTTACCTCATAGCCTGTAGGTTCTGGGTTCGATTCCCTGTGGGTGCGTATTACTGGAGAGTTCCCAGCTAGTACGAAGTAGCTATTCAGTACTCATCAGTTTCAGTGGTCTTCTGATTGATTTCAATCCGTGATCTAAGTTTAAAATATTTATTTCCCGTTTTGACAAATAGTCTGGTCATATTCTAAAGTTTATTCACGTCATTTTTGTAAATAGTCATAATTCTTGCAACATTATATTACATATATGTACATAGATATCAATATTAACACTGACGAATAATTCCTGTGGCAAATAACTTTACTTTCTGCTCCCTACAGCATGGTTCACTTTAGTACTTTAGCTGTTACTTGTCGCCTTACTGTGTTACAGATATTATGTGGATTTCAGTATGTCTTCCAAACTTTATTAATTTACTCCCCTATTTTTTTAACTGTTACAATTATCCGTGTAGAAATACAACAATAACACACTCAAACGATGCCACATATATCGAACATCCTTAACAATACTACAGAAGACTGTGGCTGATGTCTTTTTTAAATAATGTCCATGGAAGTAACATGGATAGCTAGGTCAATCAATTTACCTAATTGCCTGCAAGATATTCTTTGTCAGTGATTCTGTCGGAGAAATATGTCATCTATTTAGTATGCTTCTGTTTGTTCATGTGAATCAGTCCATGCGTGGATAGGCTTCTAGTAAATATTTACCTATTGCCACAGTATATAAATTTATACAATCTTTGATCCTACTTGAAACCAATCAAATAGCTACAAAATAACTCTTGAAAACAAACCTTATTATTTGTTTGACAACTAGAAATAGAAACTGACAGTAATTCCGTTTAAAACTTGAACAACCAGCGATCTAATACAACCAACCAGAAGATAGATCTGTTGATCAACAGACTATTATAGTGAAGGTAGTAAGAATCAACTAAAGATGGAGAGTTTATCATATATGTCGTCGAGTTAAATTCACTGAGTCCTTATTATAAAAAGGTTAATTTCTTGTATAGTGACATTTTCAAAGTGAAACTAAATTTACTGATAAAATTACAGTGATTATATTTGATTTCTTTTTATTTCTGAAATATGTCTATGAAAATTTACTGTGATAAGATAATAAAAAGTTGTAAATCACATGCATTCATATGAGAAAGAACGGGGCTACTGAGAAACCCTCGGCTTCTTTTATTCCTTTACGTTCCAAGTGGAATATAGGGCTTCAAGCTAGAGCTTTGACGTTTCAGTGGCAGTGGTGTTTATTTTTCCGGGATGTGGTTGCTAGCCTTATGCCCAACCTTCCCTCCTTACCAGTCTTATTACTGGTTTGGCGAGGTAAAGGAGTGAGTCCGCCTGGGATCGAACCCCAGACCACATGCGTGGTTGGTGAGCATTCTACCGCTGTGCCACCGGCACACCTAGCAAACCTTAATAGAAATAGAAAGTGTGCTAGACTAAACAAAGGTTATAAAATGTGTGCAAAATTAAGTCGTCGAACTGTAGGAGCCCAAGGAAACTTAAAATGATCTATGCAACTAAATAATTTTCAGTAAAGATCAAATATTTCTAGACATATATGAAAATACAGTCTGAAGTGGACATTATTTCATTGTTGCACTTAAATAAAGCACGCACAAACAAATATATCATAACTACAGCAAGACAAGATGAATAAAAAGTAAATGTTACAGATGGCATGGATGAGTACTTCAAAACTAGGATATGAAAAGCACGACAGACCTTCACTACCTAATGTGGGAATCTACAGCACTCAGCAAAAAATGATATTCGAATTTATGGCTTTAATGTAGAGTCAGTGTTTCTACATGATTCGGAGGTTCGGGATGTCTCGAAGAGCATTCCTGAAAGGCTAAGGGCTTGGTACCGAAGACCAGATAGCCGGCCAGGAAGCGTGAGCAACAAAAAACTCTGGCAGTACTGCGAACTAGCTAACAGTCTGTTGCCGTATAAGTGAGCAGAAGGAGATGGAGATAGATTTGACATGCACTGAGGAGAAATTCAATTGACATCACACGCCTGGCCTTCCAGTGGCATTGAAGTGAGAAGCGAAAAGCTGTGTGTACGAGAGTGGTGAAGTGGAGAAGATATTGTGAGGAGGAAATGAAAGCATTATGATTGATAATGAAGCCAGATGGAAGTGATGGCAGAAAATAAGGTACAGTAAGGAAGCAAAGCTGAATTCTTATGTTCTACTCGGAACACAAGCAGTGAATACTTACAATCTCGAGAATTCCACTTAAGCAGACCATGTATACCCTCTCTGCTCACAAAAAGTCATTTACTTCTAAGGATGGTGCTATATTTCCATTTGACCACCCCGAAGCATTTCCCAACATTGACTAACATAATTATTAAGGCATGCAGGTGAACATACACCATTATTTGCCTTGATGCTCCCTCTTACGTTAGTTAGTAGATATAATAGATATAATTCAAAAGTGACGGAGTAAGATGAGGAAGGTATGAGTTTTCTCAGAACGATCAGATGGGAAGCTGTTTTTCTTTTTATAAGACCATCACCAACCTTTAGGTAAATAATTGCTCTGTGTAAACCAGCGTAGCGTGAAGAACACTTTTCGTCATAAAAGCTTTTAGAAGTGATATTAATTAATAAAGTTAGCCATTTACAATTAAGATGGACTGGCCGAAGATAAGGAAAGTCAGTCATATTTCCCTTCATAATACTGTATCACATATAAATACACTGGTAAATTTACTATAACAATTGAAAAAGGCTAAATATCAGGGTTGCAATAGATTACGGAGCCAAAACTATTTCATGAGCCAAATAATTCTTGACTTCTGTGATGTATGCTTATTGAATTTAATGAAAATTTGAGACATATCATTATAAAAGTTGTTTGTCATTGTCCATCTTGACAGTCACATGTTTTAATGTCTGGTAAATTACCTATAAAGACTAGCAAATCGTGTGATTTCGACCTTTAATTAGACTTGACGTCGTTATATCGGGGTTATTACTCAACTAAATTTGAGTACAAAGATTTGCCCAGTTAATATTTTGGGTTTAAGAAGTAAATTGTATGACTGAAAAAATTGTTATATTTTTGAAGTGGTCAAATCGGTGCACCTTATGGTACCGCAGATGCACTATTCAGGTGTAAATGCCATTCAGTGTGATTATAAATCCAACCGAAATTTTATAGTTAATTACAGCGGTGAATAAAAGTAAAAGTAATAACTAACCGTGGAGATGTATTTGGTTGTTCATTGCAATCTATCGCTTCTATTTCCAAAACGAATGATGAAGTATTTTTAATGTTTGATGATATCTTTGGGTCGACACGTAGTTCAGCAAACCCATATTTCATATCAAGCAACTCAACATAAAAAGGCAAGTTTTCAGAGCTATGAACATTAAATCGACATGCTTTGCCTTACAGAAATATTAAAATAAAATGAAAATTACCGAAATTGTCATTAAGTTTCTCTGATGTGGCCTGAATTCTTGGTACAACGTGGACAACTGTTGAGTTTGACCATAAATATCCAGTATATACTTTTGGTTGTCCACAAGGAAAGACAAAATCAACACAGCTTGTAGGTTCAAGTAAGACTGAGGAGAAGGTAATGGTAAAAATAATTACCTTTCAAAATGAATAAAAGTGCGAGAAACATTCTCGCGCGCGATTACAGGCATCAAGCAAAATCTTAACCAAATATGTACCGACCTAGAAATTTGAGATTGATTGATACAAACACATACATTCAGATTCATTTGTTTCCATTAGAATCTCTTGATAAATGACATATTATCCTGCAACAAATAATTAGTTGTAGCTCTAACGTTCAGGTGCATACAAACAAAACTAGATAGTTGACTTTTTTCCAGTCTTCATCTTTTACTAGTGCACTACTTGTTTATATACTTCTAAGATACTCACGAACAAATAACGCTTTCAAACACTTATTTTTTCTATTATTAATGGCTCTACAAGCACAATTTCTGTGTGAATTCTTGTTGCACACTCCGGCCATATTTTTTGTATTTCGAAACATCTGGCAAAGCTCGTCATTAATCCACTGTCAAAGGATTTGTAAGGCTAGCCATCTGCTGCTCTAAGGGATAAATGACTTAAAAAGCTATCACTTTCCACGAGAAGCATGGTGGGTCAGATAATAACCCCTGCTAATCAGACTCTTTCATGTAATTTAAATGAAGTGGTGTCTGGGTAGACTACCTACTATTTTCACCGGAGATGGAATGTTTTTTCGTCGGCTGTCAGATGTATTCTAAGATTCCATTAACCTAAGGCATACTTCGGCCTCATTGATTAGCGAAGAAAGAATTAGTTGGAAGCCTTGAAAGTTCACTAAAATAGTCTGTATTTCGACTATATTCGATGAATGGTAATATTAACCACATTAGAATGTTGAGCAAAATATAAGTTAGTAAATTAGATTAAGAACGCTCCAATTGCCCTTACTTACGAATTTTGTTCATTCCGTGCTTTTGGATCATTATTCACTCATAACGACTCTTAACTTTTCGTCAATGTGACAATGCTTTGCATGACGCACATTGTTACACGTCAGTCCATCTAGCGGCCAAACTATTCGTCCTTTCAGTTTCGGTCAAATATAAGATACACGATTGCTGGGTGCTGAAGCATAAACTTAGGAAGTGATCCGCGAAACTTCCAAGAAAATGCCGCCAGAGCTGAGTTAATGCATGGCGCTAAATATCTTTTGTCATGAAAAGCGTCATTACCCGGTTCTGAAGACCAATCTGAGGAGAGAAAGGCATATGATATATTCAGTGTTTTGAACACCCACTTCATTAGGTCAAGTTTGGATCGACGTCAGTTCCAGAGACTCCCTCAGGGGCACTAGATGTGATTGGCCACTGTGACTGCAAAATTGGAGAGAAATAATGCAGGCGTCGTTGGCATAGCGCTTAGAACGCTCGCCGACCATGGTCCGGGGTTCGATGCCCAGCCGGCGCACTCCTTTACCTCGCTAAGCCAAGACTAAAAAGCTGGTGAAGAGGAAAGGTTGGGCATGAGGCTAGCAACCCCATCCTGTAAAAATAAACAAACACTGAAACAGACACTTCAGGATTTTGGTGTAATTTTGGTTAACTGTAATTGACTGTGATATTATTATTGTTGTTGTCGCTTGTTACCCTTCTTTTTGTGAATTATTTTCCCCTGCTGGTGTTGTTCTGCTTGTTTATTCCCTGTTTTCCTGGTTTTTAAGGGGAGCAACCCACGAGGTCGCTTCTCTCTAAGTAATAATTTAATGTAGCAATCTCCCTTCTCAGGCGTGAGGCTAGCAACCCCACCCTGTAAACAAAGCTGCTACAGAAACTTCAGCACGTTGAATCTCTTCGAGTCAAAAGAAAAAGTCTTTGTGGGGACATGGAATGTCCGCACCATGTACGAGATCGGCAAAGCTGCCCAGATCGCAAACGAAATGAAAAGATACAGAATTCAAGTACTGGGTATATGTGAAAGCCGATGGAACGGGAATGGACTCACCAAATTGTCAACGGGTGAGTCAGTGATCTACTCCGGTCACCCAGAGGATAACCACTCGCACATCGAGGGCGCGGCTATCATGATGTCACCAACAGCAACGAAGACCCTGATGCAATACGAGGCGATCTCGCCCAGGATAATGACCGCCAGATTCAACTCCAAAGGAAGGAAAGTGTCAATTATACAATGCTATGCACCAACAAACAACGCAGACCTCTAAACGAAAGAAGAATTCTACCGACAACTACAGGCAATAATGGACAATACTCCAGCTCGGTGACATCAAAATACTTATGGGAGACATGAACGCCCAACTGGGATCAGACAACACAGGAAGGGAACTCATCATGGGTAGAGAAGCTCTCGGAGAAATGAGTGAAAACGGAGAACTCTTCGCCGACTTCTGTGCCTTCAATGAACTAGTGATTGGTGGCAGCGTATACAAACACAAGGATATCCACAAGGCTACATGGGTGTCACCAGATGGGCGAACCAAAAACCAAATCGACCTCATCTCAATCTCAAGGAAGTGGAGACGCAGCCTGCTGGACACAAAAGTAAGAAGAGGAGCAGACGTTGGCTCAGACCACTATCTCGTACAAGGGACAATCCAAATCAAATTAAAAGCTTTCAGAGAATCAGGGGCTGCAGATAGACCACAAGCCAAGTTCAACACTCAAAAACTGAAGGACCGGGACACAAAGTACGTCTTCACTGCAAGTATAAAAGACAAAGCCGAGACACAAATCAACACTGGCGAAGAGGTCAGCATCAAAAGGCACTGGAACAACTTGAAAACAGCGTGGAGTCGAACCTGCATAGAAGTTCTAAGCAGAAGGAAGAGACAAGAAAAACAATGGCCCACTACGGACACTTGGAAACTAATAGAAGAGGGAGGGATGGTGAAACAAAAGATTCTCCAGTGCACCGATGAGCAACAAAGACAGGATTTGAATGCAGACTACAAGGCACTGAACAAAAGAGTAAAGAAGAGTGCCAGAGAAGACAAAAGAAAGTACTATGAAACCATGGCAAGTGAAGCAGAACAAGCTGCAGGCAAAGGAGACCTCGCAACACTCTACCAAACTACTAGGTACCTATCGGGGAAAACGTTTGACACAAATCAAGCCGGTGAAGGATGACAATGGAAAGTCACTCACCAAAGAAGTGGAGCAAAGGAAACACTGGGCTGAACACTTCAAAAGACTCCTAAATCGACCACCACCGACAACGCGCCCAACAATACCAACAACGGAGACAGAGCTACTAGTGAACACCAACCCCCCGACGAAATCAGAAGTGCTGAAGGCAATCAAGATGCTAAAAGCTGAAAAAGCAGCAGGACCAGATGGAATCCCAGCAGAAGCATTGAAAACGGACCCAGAGACAACAGCGGACTTGATGACGCCACTACTGGAGAAGGTGTGGAAAGAAGGCAAAGTACCCGAGGATTGGAAGAAAGGATACTTATTCAAACTGCCAAAGAGAGGAGACTTAAGTCAATGCAAGAACTGGCGCGGAATTATGCTCCTGTCTATCCCAAGCAAAATACTAAGCCGCATCATCCTGGAGAGAATCAAACATGCCCTGGATGAAAAACTTCGACCGGAACAGGCTGGATTCAGGAGAAACAAGTCATGCATTGATCAGATCGCCACATTACGGATCATCATTGAACAAAGCTTGGAATGGCAGTCACCTCTCTATCTCAACTTCATCGACTTTGAAAAGGCCTTCGATAGCACTGATCGAAAGGTGATTTGGAAATTACTTCGCTACTATGGGGTGCCACCGACAATTATACATCTCATCCAACAGCTGTACGACAATGCTGCATGCCAAGTAATCCACAACGGGAAACTTACGGAACCCTTCGAAGTGAAGACAGGAGTAAGACAAGGCTGCCTACTATCACCAATGATTTTCCTGATTGCAGTAGACTGGATAATGCGACAAACAGCGGGCAATGAGGAAACAGGCATAAAGTGGACTCACACAAAAATCTTGGAGGATCTGGACTTCGCCGATGATATATATCTGATTTCCCACAAACTGGAAGATATGCAAGTGAAAAGCAACAAGTTGGCAGAAGAAGCATCAAAGATAGGACTTCAGGTGAACATATAGAAAACAGAGGCGATGAAGATTCCTGGGCAACACCATCAATAGCAACAACAACAGACAACAATCAGCATAAATGGGAGGAACCTGAAAGAAACAACCTCTTTTACCTACCTGGGAAGCATCGTTTCAACTACAGGCGAAACTGACGAGGATATCAAAGGAAGAATCGGAAAAGCAAGACAAGCTTTCACTACTCTCAAGTCTGTGTGGAGGTCAATAGCACTCAGCATCAAAAATAAGATCCGGATTTTCAACTCCAATGTGAAGTCAGTGCTACTATACGGATCAGAGACTTGGCCAGTGCGTCATAAAGAGCATCTCAAACAAACTACAGACCTTCATTAACAGTTTTCTTCGCTCAATACTCAAGATCAGATGGCCGTCCAGAAAAGATCAGCAACAGGGATCTCTGGGAGCGAGCCGACCACGAACCGATTGTGAAACAAATAGGCAGGAAGAAATGGAGATGGATTGGCTGGTCATACTCTGAGGAAACCATCAAGTGACATCACTAGACAAGCCATTGCTCGAGTGGAACCCGAAAGGGAAGCGGCGAGTTGGTCGTCAGTGCGAGGGTGACTTTGAGGAGGTCATGTGAAGAGGAGATGAAAACGTGTGGGCAGACATGGAGCCAGGTGAAGACTCTAGCAGAGAACCGAACGCAATGGAGACGCACGGCTGAAGCCCTATGTTCCTCTAGGAATTAAAGGTTACAATAATAAATAATAATACAGAAACTCTAGCTTGAAGCCCTATGTTCCACTGGGAACGTGAAGGAAAAACAATAAACAAAATGAGTATAGTGGAAGGATAAAAATTTCAGATTTAGTTTAGTTTCATCAATTCTAGTTTGACGCCAGCATACTTCTTCATCACTCACTGTGGGCACACCAAATTTATGTACATCAGGATCGGCAGGCAGCAAAAAGTTGTAGTATCCAAAGATTTCGCATGAAACGTATGATTAAGCTTAATCAAAAAGTATAATATATTGACAGACGTTTCTTTTATCTT